AAGTTGTAAAGTTCATTTTCAACATAGTGTCTTGTACCTCTCATTGTTACAATGGTTCAACCTGTACCTTTATTTCAACATTTTGTTATTTCCCTTCCCCTCCCCAAATTAGAAAAATCAGTAAGTGGTATTTCAAAATGCTTCCATATACCTAAGGTCAAGATAAAGCAAGTTTGGACAAGAAAATACAGTAAAAAAGAACAGAGGATTAGATGAAGACATGTGAAATATGAGTCAAGTATTTATAATGAACTACACATAACACTGGGTCCCAGAGATGTGCCTCAGAAAGGAAAACAAAAGGAAAAGAGTATATATAATGTAAAATTTCAACTAACTTGTAATCTTGTTTATTAATATACCTGTGAGAGTCTAAAAATCCAAGCTGTGAGACTCTGAAAGGATTGGGAGTTTTGAATGCCTTCTCCCAATACACTCTCATAATGATGAGGTCAATCACTCCTGGCTTAATGGGAACTCAGATTCCACCCTAAATTGTGTGGGAGACTCAGGGTAGACTTAGTTTATGTAAATTGTAGGCTGTTTACTGTTTAGATATCCTTCCCAGTATGCAAAATATTGTCTCATGTTGAGGTGTGCACCTTACTTCCTTGCAAAAGACCAATAAAAACCTTGGTTAAGGGAATCTTAGGATCTGTTGCTGGAAGGCTACAGGTCCCCTGGTACCCCAAACCTCAGTTCCACAGTCTGGTCTCCATTACTGTGTTGCTCCCAGTTGCCCCGGATTAAGGAGAATGCAGCAGGTTGTGGCATATAAAAAGGTAAAAAGTGATAAAACATTCCAGTGGCAAGAATTGTAAAATGACTGTAGGTACAATTATGAAAAGTGTACCTCTGATATTCTTTCTTATTCTACGTCAAGACCAGTTTCATAAAACCTTAAGTTGCTCCGATAAGCTAAAATGATTGCATGTTAGCATGTGAAAGGAAAGATAGGTATAAAATATGTAATACATTTCACAATGTAAAAATGTCTGCTCCTGACCACAGGGAGTCCTCAATTTAGTCTTGAATTCAGAACTAGACGCAAGTGAAACTTGTAAGCACTTAAATATCTCAGATAACAATGTAGTGACAAAGAAGACTGAAATAAAAACCAATTATTCCAAGTCAGTTCTCTTATCTTCCTTTTAGTGTTCTAATAGTCTTTCATAAAAGGAAGAATTTTTCTTGCTAAAAGGGTGCTTGATGGCTTGCACATTCCATTTCATTACTTTGATGATCAGAAAAGAATCTAAGTTAGCTAAGCTCTAGTATTGTCAGAATGTTCTAACAGCTATCCTATGGTCCTATGAAGTTGTAGTTTGGAGTTGGGCATATTGTGCTTTCTTTTCTCAAAATTACTTTATTACCCAACCTTGAGTTTGCGTATATGAAAACATTTTGAAGAACAATTTCCTTTTACCTTTCAAATTTTAAATTCACTGAATCCTAATAAATATAATAATGTATTTCTTAAAGTTAAAACAGAATTCCACATTTTCAACTAGAGACAATGATGAATATACATACATCCAATTCAGGTTTCCTTCTTTGTCGGTCGTCAGAATCAACATCCACACTTCCATTGATTATCTGGGTACATTTTGGACAAAGCTTCCAACCAGGTACGAGCTGTCTTCCAAATTTTGCACTCAGAAAAGTGGCATCATCTAAGTCAATTACATGCAAATTTTTTTTGGCTAGCTTTTTGTGTATGTTAAATGGGTCACAACATGACTTCTGCAAATCCTCAAATCTGTCAATGTAAATTTTTACATGATGAAAGCAAATTGTGTTGTTCCCAGAAAGCGTCATTCCAGTTCTAAGTTGAAGTAAAAGCATATCATTTGATGACAATTCTTGCAAAGTCTTGAAACCTGTATGACGAGTGTAGTAGGTTTTATGGCACTCATTTGTGGTACGAAGCTGGACTCCAACTGAACATGGGTCCATCATTCTTGATTCTCACAAATTTTCCTTGTTTTGTCTAGTGATCTCTCTTAAAGATCATGTGGTGATCACTCTAGAGAAAGATATTAAAGACAGATATGTTTTGTGAATTTTTAATTTGGAAAATAAAGTCTGATAAAATTCAACACTGTTTAAAACAAAAAACTCAGCAAGAGAGGAATAGAAAGGTGTTTAACAAAAACCTACACTAAATAGTATATTTTATCACCATATGTTAGATATGTAAGATGTAAAATATGTAAAATCAGAACTATACAGAAATACTAGTTATGTCAATTCTTGTAGAAGACCATATTGAATGGTACAAGGAGTGAAATATAAGGAATAAGAAGTACTATTTGAAAATACAAATATCTATGTAAGAAATACAAAAGGTTCAACAAACTAGCAATAAAACAAGTAAGAGAGCTTAGCAGGATGGTGGAAATCAACAAAACACTTTGATACAAACCTTATAAATTACTGCAAGACCTTTATGGAGAAACTTATGAAACTGAAAAACAAAAAAGACAAATAAATTAAGCTGTATATAATGGAAAGCCTGATGACTATAAGTATGTCAATTCATCTACAAAATCAAAAATCAAAGCTCTTCCAATCAAAATCAAATCATATATTCTATACTCATTCAGTTGGAAGTTAGCAAGCTGATCTATGGAAAATGATAGAGGTCCAAGAAAAATCTTGCAGGGAAATAAACTATGATATTTGCTAGAAAGCTATTATAATTAAAATAGTTGTATTATGATGGTGTGCTATATGACATGTATTATTATAAATTAATGACTATTATACATCAATGTAGAATGGAACTTAATTAGCTAATCATATGGAAAGTAATCTCTTTTGTATAAACCAAAACCAAGTACAAATTAAACAACTACACATGGAAAGAAAAACTAAAAATGTTATTAAGGATTGTATAATAGGTGTCAGGAAAAGATCACTGAACAAGAAAACTAAGATATGACACCTTAAGTCATATACTACACTACACATTTTGGTATAACTACAAACTATACAACTATTTTGGTAAAACTACACTTGAAAGGTAGTATCAGGATAAGTATCTTAAATACTGCAGGCAACTCTTACTTGTTCCCTATATGTTGACAGAAATGTAAACTGCTACAATTGCTTTTGACAATTTGTAACAAGTGGAAAAAGAACATATCCTGAAAGCTTGTACTTGGCCAGAGATTTTGGTATAGGAGCAATGTATATCCTAAGAGACATACAAGGGCTTTCCTGTTAGTTTTGTCAAGGAAAGATGAGAAGTAACCTAAAATTATAAAGGGTGCAAAATTTTGGGTTAATCATACAAGAAACTACCTAGCCACCTGAATGAATCACAAGTTGCCATAGAAAATTTCAAATCCAACTATAAATGAAGAAAATTACCCAAGGAACTGCAGAAGATTTAACGTATGAATACACAATAAAGAAGAGGAAAAAGAAGTGTAAGTACATCTAAGAAAAAGTTTTATTTTCCCTAAGTGTTGTAGAAAAGTAAACCTTGGTAGCACATTCACACTACTTTATCTCCTATTTGAAAGTTTTCAAGTAAACTAACAACCAACCAACAAAACAACAACAACAACAACAAAAACCACATTAAGTTGAATTTTTAAGAGAAGATGCAATAAGTATCACTGAATTCTATACGGTGGTAGAGGATTACAAAATCTAGTCCCTGCATATTTATGCTCAGAAACTTTGTTTCTCGTTAAAAAAAAAGTTAAAAAAATTAAATGTTACTGAACATTTTAACTTCTTCTTTTTAGCAGTATTGGAGTGTAAATTCAGGGACTCTGGGTTGCAACACAAGTGCTCTATTACTTGAACTGTAGTTTTAGTGATTTATTTTACAGTTTCATGCTTTTACTAGGACTGGATTTGAGCTGAGATTCTCCTACCTCAGTCTTCTGAGTACCTGGAATTACAACTCTCAAGATAGTGCCTTGCTTTTTTAAAATTATTAATTTTTTGCCCTGTTTGGTTTCAAATCATGATGTTCCTGTCTGCCTCCAAAAAGGCTTAAAGATTTCAGCCAACTAGAAAAAAAAATTAGCAAACAATTAAGGTCCCAAGCACATTAGATGAAATAGCTCATATTATAGTAATAGAGACCTTTTTACTTCAAGTAAAAAATTAGGTTAAAAGGAGGATATTCTCAGGAGGATCAGAAAGGCATAATAGCTATGTGTATCTGATAATTTAAAATAATATTTATGAAAATGAACTCCAGGAAATGGATACAAGAGGGTTTTTTTTCTTTGTTGCTGTTATAGTTGTCTTTTCCTTTTGTCTTGTTTGTTCGTTTACCTGTCTTGGGAAGGTAAGAAGGAGATACAAAAATGGTGGGACAAAGGGTGAACGAATGCAGCAGTGATACTCAGTAGATTCTGCATTGAAAATGAACTGCACAACTTGTGGGTGGGGACAGGAGAGAAAAACTGGGAGAGAGACAGGGAAGGGGTGATACTGTTCAAAAAGAAATGTACTTTACCAGACTTATGTAACTTTAACTCATCTACACATCACTTTTACAATAACAATAAATATACTCATTTGAAAACTGGGTTAAAATAAACTAATGAAAAGGAAGAAGAGTAACTCAGAGATAATGGCAATAACTGCAAATTACATGTCAATCTTTCTGAACATAAATGGGAAACCTTTCTTTATAGTCAATAACAAAGTACTCTTGTTTTGTTACGAGTCTTCCAAGATGTGGATAAACAATACCTGTAACACTAGGGATATTCAGAGAAACTGAACTGTGACCATTCTGTTGAAATTTTGTCCTTAAATACTAAATAAACTGAAACAAGATATCACTTGTTCCAAGTGCTACATATTCCTGGTAAATCTATACTACCTACAAGTTTTTAACACTGTGTTTTCTGCTTGAAAAACTGGACCATTTCTCTGCCTAGCAATGATTATTTATCCTCAAGACACCAACAGCATCTTCATCTATCTGCTGAAGCCTTACCTGGGAGCTATTGTAAAGAAAGGTTCTTCTATGTTTGCACAACTAAGTGTATTAAATTTCCTTATTGCCTTCAATATATAGAAGGCTGGTGCTACAAAATGTTATTTTCTCCATCAACCCATATATAAGAATAATGTCAAGGCCTTCCTTTTTTTGTAACTTTTTCTTACCTGTTTAATTTTTTTCTATTATATAGAAAGCTCTGGGCAAAGAATTCCTTAGAGCCTGATTATAGTTGTGGCTTTTCTAATTAGCATAATACTTGCACTTAATAGTTAACATCTTTTGAATGAATCCATGTTCACATACTCCCAGAATCCCAAACCAACCAGGCAAATCTCCCTGGAATCAATGTGATTAGTTCCGAGTTTCCAGAAATGATTCCCAGCGCTACTACAATATGTCTATTGGTCAAAGGCATGATGCCTTTGGTTCATGTATACAACGAAATGACTTAAGTAAGTCTCAGGTGCTCATACCTGTAATCCTAGCCACTCAGGAAGATTAGATCTGAGGATGCCGGTTAAAAGCCAGCACAGGCAGAAAAATGTGTGAGATTCTCTCATCTCCAATTAATCACCAAAAAGCTGAAAGTGGAGAAGTGGCTCAAAGTGTTAAGAGCACAAGCTTCCCGCAGAAAAAGCTAAGTATCAGTTTCCAGGCCTTGTGTTCAAGCTCCAGTAATCTTTCCTCCTCCTCCACTCCTCTAAGATTCAAACCGTTATGACTGCCTACTATGTTCATGGTATCAGGATATTAAAATATATATATATATATATACACACATACATTTATGTATATATATCCACATATGTATGCATACATATACACATACACACACATATGGCCTGGGGTCTCAACCATACAGCTATGGGCCTAAGAGAAATCTTAATTTGAAAATTTAACAACGAGCTGGGCCTGTAATCCTAATAGTTACTCAGGATGCTGAGATCTGATATCGCAGTTCGAAGCCAGATGTGGTAGGAAAGTTCCTGAGACTCCTACCTCCAATTAACCACCCCAAACTGGGAAGTGGAGCTATCTATGGCTCAAGTGGTGGAGTGCTAGCAGCCATGAGTGTGAAAGCTAAGAGACAGTACCAACACACACACACACACACACACACACAGCCACGCCACTCGCCAGTGTGAGGCTAGGAGAGGCTATCAAGTTACAGACTATTTCGTGTCAAGCACAGGAAAGGGACCGGCGGTGGCTCCCGTAGTATCTAGAGCACGTGCAAAGGTCCGAGGGGCGCCCGGGGTTCGAATCCCACCGCCGCAGACAACAATAGGAGAGGTCTCACGCCGCACACTCGGCTCCGGGCCGCGGAGGGCCAGGTCGCAGTCAGCCTTCCCCGGAGCCGGGTAGGGCTGGGGTGCCCGCGGCGGTGCCGGGGCCCGGGCCCGGGGGCCAGCGGCGGGGACGGGGAAGCGAGGCCGCGGGAGGCGGAGGACCGCGGAGGCCGCGGCTCGCAGCCCAGTGCTCCCCGCCGGGGTAGGCCTCCTCCGGGGATTCCGGGAGGTCCGCCCCGCTGGGGTTCCCTCCAGACCCAACACCCCAGCTCGACATCCCCAGCCCCTTCGCCGCGCCGATCCCCTTTCACCTGCGTTTTCAGCCGCCCCGGCCCCGCGACGCCTCCGACCCGCCGCGGACTCGGCGGCTCCCGACCAGCTGCTCGGCGCTTACCACTGAGAGGACCCGGGCCGCGGCTAGCGCGGCGCCCTCGCTACCATAGAGACGAGCGGCTGCGAGGCCTAGAGTGGAGCCCAGGCCGCGGGCCCGACGCCGGCGGCGTCGGCTGAGGCCGCCCAACTGGCGGGAGCCGGCCAATGAGCCAAGATCCGGCTGCGGTTGCTTCACCCGGCCGTCTGGGGATTGGAGGTGGCTTCCTGGCGCCTGGGAATTGGCAGCTCCCTGGAGACCCTCTCTGTTAGGCAAAGTTGCCACCGAAGTGCTTTGCCTGTGCGTTGCCAGGTCTGCGCCCCGGTATGCTGGAGGGGATTGACTGGGGTTCCAGGGACCCCAAGAAACGGACTTGTCCCAACCTCGCGTTGACTTTGACTCAGAACGAGATCGTATTCTACAAACACACATCTCGTTATAAATTATGAAAGCGGCTGTTACATTGTATAAAACTCCGGCTCTGGGAAGTTACTTGTAAACGTTTCTTAGGAAACAAATCTCTTGTAGCCTCACAAGTTAGGAGGTCATTCATTTTTAGAATTTATCTTTATTATATAGTATGTATTTTAGTACCTACATAAGGTATATTTTATTATACACATTTGTATTTTCTAATACACATATGTATTGGTTGATTTCTCCAACTTTTTTCATTCAGCGCTGGTGCTTTACTACTTGAGCCAGAACTCCACTTTTGACTTTTTGCTGGTGAATTAGAGATAATCCTCTAATGGACTTTTCTGCCCTGGCTAGCTTCAACCTCGGAGTGGAGAAATCCACTGAGGAACAGTCAAAGGTGACAAAGGAGTTTTATTAGCTGGCAGGAGAGTGCTTTGTCCTGAGCTAGCTCAGAACTGAGACTACCTGTGCCTTCCAATGGGTCAGGGTTTATAAAGGCCAGAACCACATGCAAGTGATAGTTTCACAAGCAAGCTGATTTACAGAAGCTCAAAGATCATTAGGAGTGGGGATGTTTTTCAGCTGTGGTCAGAACCAGGCCGTTATCTGGAGGCCCCAGCCGGATAATCCAACTGAATAGCATCAAGCCTTGGCTCCCAAGAAACTCCCTTGTAGGTGAGTGCCACAGCCCTTGGGATGGCTGAAGTTCCTCGGCTCTAAGATTCCCCAGCCTCCTTGAGTGCCTGTTTCCCCAGGACCAATGTGTTCAGGAGTCATTTGGAAATCCTCCAGAGGTGAGTCTGGACAGGCCTGCATCTGGGGAGACTCAGCAGAAAGCTGGGCACAGTGTTACTTCCTGGGACTTCCTTGGAAAGTCATTTGTATCGAGGGTCTGTAGCCACTTGTCTTATCTGTCTTTGGTGTTGTCTGCTAACCAACTTGGGTCAGAGAGTCCAGGTTGCTGAGTGGGAGTGGCAGGCTCATTCAACAGACGTGGGGTTCAGCTTGCTGAGTGGGAGGAGCAGGCCCACTGGGCTAACTCAGAGTCCTTGTAGGGATGAGTTGGGGGCCCACTAGGCCCCAACTCTGTCTTTGTTTCTTTTTCTTGTCTTGTTCTGTTTTTTAAATTGGTACCAGTTTTAAGTGTGGATCCTTGCTTTTCATGTTTTGTTGAACATCTTGGGGGAATAAACGTTCCATTCTCTGGCTGGGCCTGGTCACAGGCTTTCTATGCCCCCCTCCCTGTATGGCAGCAGCCAAGAGGCAGGGTGTGTGCAGATGCAGGCCTGGTTTGGTCCTCTAGCAATCTGGCTAAAGACACAAGTCTCAGACTGTGCCCCTCCCTGCTGGAGGGGGCATAGGTGGCTGTGGGTCCGGTTCAGACATTTGGCTTGTCCTGGCAGTGTAAAAAGTTGTAAAGTGCTCTTGTCTAAAACTGGATAAAATACAAAATGAGGCTAGCTTAATTTCAGGTGACCCCCTCCCCTCCCAGCATCCCTCCAACTGAAGGTATTTAAAAGGGCAATTAGTATGTTAAAATGCCTTGTTAAACAACAGGCCCTGGAGAAATTAGGCTTATGCCCAAGATTCTAATAATTATATAAAGCAGTTTAAAAACCTAGCTCAGACCTATGACCTTACTTGGCAGGATATATATCTAATACTATCCTCTACCCTTACTGCTGAGGAAAAGGAAAGGGTGTAGATTACAGCCCAGGTGCACGCTGACAAAGCCCACCGCTTAGATATTGACTTTACAGTGGGAGCAACAGCTGTGCCTAGGGAAGAACCCAATTGGAATTGTCAACATAATGCTCATGGGAGGGAAAACAAAAATAGGATGATAACTTGCTTAGTGGCTGGCCTTCAAAAGGCAGCCTATCTCCCTGTTAATTATGACAAATTAAACCACATTACTCAAAGGCCCAATGAAAACCCAGCTGAATTTCTTGAACACCTCACAGTAGCACTCTAGTGCTCTACTAAGCTAGACTCAGTCACCAGAGACCAAGAGTCACCAGAGGCCAAGATGGTTCTTAATACTCATTTTATTGCCCAGTCAGCCCCTGATATTAGGAAAAAGTTTAAAAAGTCTGAGGATGGTCCTCAACTCCCTCAATGAGATCTGGTGAGCATGGCATTTAAGGTTTTTAATAATTGGAAAAATCAGGAGATTGCCGATAAGACTGCCTGTAAGAGGGAGAATTATCAAATCCTGACTGCTGCCATGTAGCTTCCTCCAAGAAGAGGCACCCAACATACGCTGCCTGGATCATGCTACAGATGTGGACAAGAAGGACACTGGGCAAAATTCTGCCCTTCACCATGACCACCACCTGGTCCCTGCCCAAAGTGCGGACAACAGGGACACTGGGGGATCGACTATCCACAAGGTAGGCCAGGCCCTCCCACCTCCGTCGACCTAGGCAGGAGGAGCCTGACCCACCGGAGATTCTCTGCTTGGCTACAGAATGATTATGCCTGGGGCCGCTGGCTCCCAAGAACAAAACCATCACAGTGGAGGAGCCCAGGGTGTGATTCTATGTAGCCAGTAAGCTAGTATCCTTTGTCTTAGATTCGGACAGGAGCCAGTTTTTTGGTGCTATCTCAATGTGCAGGCAAGACTTTTCCCTCCCAGATCTTGGTGGTGGGTGTTGATGACTACCTACCTGTCCCCCAACTGCAGGACCAGTACCATGTAAAATGGAAGACTTTCCCTTTTCACACTCCTTCCTAATCTTACCCCACTGGTCTACTCCACTCCTAGGGAGGGACTTGCTCTCTAAATTTCAAGTCTCCCTCTCATTCCATGTCCCCAAACAGCCAACACCCATTCTGCTGTTATCCCTAGATGAACCTCCACTGTAACGTCCCAACTAGATCCTTTCCCCCTCCTTCCAGATCTTGTCAACCCTCTTATCCAGAATACTTTCACACCCACTATGGCTAGATACTATATTCCTGTCCTCATTAAAGACCCTACCCATTTCCCCACTACATCCCAATCCCCCATTTCCCTTAGACACAGGGACGGTTTAAAACCTGTCATCCTTTGCCTTCTTAAACAAGGACTTCTGAGACCTATTAACTCCCCCTTTAATACCCCTATTCTGCCAGTAGTTAAACCTTATGGGACCTATCACCTAGTCCAGGACCTGTGCCTAACCCATATGCTCTCCTTTCACAGATACCACCTGGTACCATCCACTTCTCAGTGCTGGACCTCAAAGATGCATTTTTTTTTGGTCCAGTCGTGGGACCTGAACTCTGGGCCTGGGCACTGTCCTTCAGCTCTTCAGCTCAAGGCTAGTGCTCTACCACTTGAGCCACAGCGCCACTTCCGGCTTTTTTACTTTTTGCTTATGTGGTGCTGAGGAATCGAACCTAGGGCCTCAGGTATGCAAGGCAAGCACTCTACCACTGAGCCATCTTCCCAGCCGCAAAGATGCATTTTTATTTTTACAATTCCCTTGCACACTGACTGTCAGGACCTCTTTGCTTTTACCTGGATGCACCCAGATACTTCCAGGGCACAACAGCTGACCTGGACAGTCCTCCCTCAAGGGTTCTGAGACAGTCCCCATTGTTTTGGACAAGCTTTAGCAAAGGATCTCCTCTCTCTTCAGGTGTCTCCTAGTGTCATTCTTCAGTATGTGGTTGATCTCTTGCTTTGCAGCCCTTCAAGTTGGCTCACCAACATAGGGCTGACCTCCTCAGTTTCCTATTGGCCTCCTTCCTGTTGGTCTCCCCTTCCAAGGCCCAGATAACAAATCCAGAGGTAACTCCTACAGAGAGAATGACTCGATAGAAAAGCGTACATCAAGTAACTCTCTGTCCCACAGACCAAGGAGGACATTCTGTCTTTCCTGGGGCTTGTGGGCTTCCTTCATATTTGGATACCTGATTTTGCTACCTTGGCAAAACCCCTTTATGAGGCAACCAAGGGCTCCCTACTAGAGCCCATTGACACCCCATTTAAGGTACTGAAGTAAGCGCTTGTTCAGGTCCCAGCACTGGCTCTACCCAACCTTAAGGAACCTTTATACTCTATGTCACTGAGAAGTGGGGAATTGGCCATGGGGTTCTTGGACAAATGTCAGGTCCCTCTTTGGACCTGTGGCCTACCTCTCAAAACAACTAGACCCAACAGTAAAAGGCTGGCCAGTCTGCCTTCAAGCTTTGGCGACAGCAGCCACCTTAGCACAAGACAGCACAAAACTCACTTTTGGCCAGTTGACTACCATTCACTCTCCCCACAGACTAAAGGACCTTTTATCTCATAAAGCCCTGTCTTCCCTTTCCCCTTCCTGCCTGCAGCTGTTTCATGTTACTTTTATTGAAAACCCTGACTTCTCTCTGGAAAGCTGCTCCCCTCTCAATACACCCACCTTGCTTCCATCCAGCTCTAACTCTCTTTCCCATTCCCATACAGAGACCTTGGAAGAATTCATACCCATTTTACAGGTATCTCAGAAACCCATCTTTCTGACCCAGAAGACACCTGGTACATCAATGACAGTTTCCACACCTACCTCCTCAGGCAGCTGAATTGTGTTATGCCATCATTAATGACTGCACCATTATTGAAAGCAGCCCTCTGCCCCCTGGTAC